ATTACTAAGATGTGTATAAACTTTTATTAGTGTTAAACTAATTTGAGCATCATAATTATTAGCTTAGTACTATGAAGGCTTAGCCCTAAACATCATAAGCTTGCAGCTCATTTTGTAAATTTAAATTCATTTTAACATGATGATTATGGTAGGGCCACGTAACAGATTTCACTGTTGCACGAATGGGCAGGTCCGTCCGGGTGAGTACCACGACCTCACAGAAGACCGGTGTTGCACTTCTGCGTTTCGTCTGGTGAGTGAGGTAACCGGGGCCCACTTTATTTAAAGGTGGCAACGCATTTGCCACCAAATGTTGCAAATGTCCATGGGCGGTGGTTATCACTTAACATCAGGTGAATTGCCAGCTCGTTTGCCACTTTATGACATTAAAAAAAATCTTGATTCCGGTTTCAGGTTTCGAAGGATCATTACCTACGTACCGAATGCTGAAAGTATATGATTTGTTTGCTTGTGTTATATTGAATGTTTAATAAATTGATAAAATTTTCTTCGTGTGATTGATTACATTATAATGATCCCTCCGTCTATTGCATACTATTGAAGCAGTGTGTAACGTTAAACGAAATGATGATGACACCAGTGTCACAGTGAACTGCAGAATATAACATGTTATTACGCTTTTAAATTATAAAAACCTATATAAAGATAATTATGGTATCCATTTACCAACCAAACTATTTATTTATTTTCAATGTTGTTGTTTTAGATTATTTCAGTATTGTAGTATTATATTGTTATAGCATCGACGGCAATAGCGTAATGAATTAACCGGCTATCAGCCATTAATAATAATAAATATTTCAGGACACACTTTTTACACAACGTTCTCTAGTATCAAACTAAGCAACGCTTTTACTATGGGTACTAGATAACTGATAAACATACTTTTCTTTTGTAAATAAATACATACATAGACACCCAGACGCTAGAAAAACAAGAGTTGTCAATTTCGTCATTGCACTCCGTGTTTTAGGTTCGATCCCTAGACGCGACTGAAAAATTACTGTCATCGGCAAAGACTAACAACACGGGGTTTGTTTCAAATACTGGAGACCAAAAATAAAGAAACGCTCGCTTTGAAACCTGATCGGGAAAAAAAATAAAGATTTCTTTGCTTTTGTTTGTGTTCCTGAAATGTTCTCGTTTTTCCAATTGCGTAATTAAAAGTTTTATTGATCTTTAAACTATAGTACAATTGACTTTTAGTATTTCAGCTGATATTTTCAAAATTTAACGGTATTAAAATATCAATAGTGATTTCGATTCAATATTGGTCTAGCGGTAAGAAACCGAATGTTATGCAACGCATAACGCGTGGCCAATTAAAGGTGGCACGAATGCTAATAAATAAACATTTGTGATATCGATACACACACACAGCTGCATAGCTGTTTTGAATACTTAGTTGAAATTGAGAGGCCGTTACTGCGTCTACTCTGCTGTTTTCGTAAAGTGTTCTTAAATTTAAATGTAGAAACATATTGCTTGTATTAGTGAAAACACGATTTACAGTAAGTCACTAAAGTTCGTAATCGTTAAACTTTATCACAGACAAATCGTAACATTGGACTAATGGCTGGTTTCAATATCCAATCTACAGACAAATTTGGTTGCTGGAGATAGAATTTTAGCGCAAGTATCATGGAGCTAATGTCAGATACCCATCGCTAGTAACCAATTCTATCTGTAGATAGAATATTGAACCCGGCCATTAGTCCAATGTTACGATTTGTCTGTGATAAAGTACAACAATTACGAACGTTAGTGACTTACTGTAAAAAACTTATTACAAGGAAATTACACATCTGCTTAGATTACTCATATATTCGTTAGTCCGTCCTAACCTTAGTTTTATAATTTTTTTTTTGTCTAAAACCTCACTTAAATTTTGAGATTTAGATTACGAGGCAAACAGTCAGTTTCTTATTCAAGAAAACTGGTTCATTCAAATTTCTATTCACTACATTATTACGTGTCATCAGTGTGGTTCTAATAATCTTTGTTCTTCGTTTAATTAAAGTATCATAGTAGTGTGACGATTCTGAGACGCGGGGGTGGCTATTTTTTTTTAACGTTATTCATATTTTTTTACGTGAAAAAATCTGTAACTGCAAAGCTACAAAGCTTCACGCACGTAATGTTTTACATTATGTATCTTAATCTTAAAACGTTTGAAGGATGTAGCTATTCTTTTATGGGTTCGATCCCCACTTATAGAAAAAAATATTTGACAATGATGAACGTAGTGATTTTCTAGTATCTGGATGTTTTATATATCTATAATTTATATTTGTAAAAGAAAACACACAATAGAAAAATATGTTTAAGTACATTTATTACCATTAGGTACTTAGTCCACATAATAAAAGCTGTGCTTAGTTTGGGACTACAACGTTTGGAACTACTACAAATATGGTCTGAAATAGTATTTGTAATGTTATTAAATGAATATTTTTTCTATAAAGTTTGAACTTACAAAATTTAAACTTCCAAGGGAATAACGCACATTTTTAAGTTGCTATAACAATTTTATATAGTTTATCACGTTTAACACTATTCGTTCAGCATTATGATCACATTACTCTATGACCTGTCCATTCGTGCAACAGAGAAGATAATTACGTGGCCCTACCGCAGTTAAATCACCATTGGTATTTATAAAGGTTTTCTACTTTTGCTATTCGGAATAACACTTCGCATGCTTCTAGAAAATCTTCCAATGGAAAAAAAGATTGATAAAAAGTCACGCCTAAGAATTCGTTTTAGTTGAATACCATTACGCCGCATGCTTGGATTAATTTTATTAAGGCGCTACACGATTCGATGCTTCCATTTATGGTATGTCAAGCCAAATTAGTTGATAAGCTGGCTTTGATGCCTCTTCTCTCTTTTGATCTACAAATATCCATTATGATCCTGACGTAAAAATTTAAACAGGTTTCTTTTAATGTGTTAGAAGTAAATGAAAATGATATACAAAGCATTAAGGCCAAAAATAATTATGTATATTATGAAAGAGTTTTATTTAGGGATACCATATGAATGAAAAATTGCCAATTATGTTAAATTTTTTGCCATTTTATTTTAATAAAACGTACAAGAAGTCCAAATTATTTAATTTAAATGACAAATATATGGTTCAAAATTTAAAATGAAGTATTTATTTTGGATAAATTATAAGAAAAACGCTGCTGCAGTTACTAAGTAATTCAATAACAGCAAAAAAAGCCAGAGGAAATTCTTTATGTTAGGTTAATTAATCTGACTGATTTTTCGTTCTATTCCTGAGAAATTGCAAAAATAAAAATTGACTTTTAAAATATCTGACGGTCCTTATTCACATGTGTACACACTCCCGGATATTTTTTGATACCTCCTTTACAGATATTTCTGTTTGGAAGTAACTGCTATTTATAAGGCCGCCCTTTTACAACCATTTTTCTTACTTTTTTGTTGTTAATTCTTCACTTATTTTGATGTGTACAATAGAATGTATAAATAATATATACACATTTGTATAATACGTTTGTACCTCCGTAGCAGATTTAACCTTTAAAAACTCCTAATAAACGTAAGTTAAATTTCCTAGAATAATGACCAAACAATTGATGACTAAATTACTAATTTTGTAAAATAGATACTATATTTAATTTACAACAACTCAGTACCATTCTTGGAGTGTAAACTTGGAAAAAATCCTTAACTGAACCAATATCGCTAACTTAGGCAATAACGAATATATTTTACGTTCGTCTCCTTTTAGTTAGAAATTTAATTAATAAATAACTGCTATTTTAAATGCTCTCTACATTATCAATCTAAATTTAATTCGTAATAACGAAAAACTATTGTTCTAACTTTAGTACATACGTTTTACTATTAATCCCTTATGTTTTGCGTTTAATCTAACACTTGGTTCATAAACAAATTGGTGTTTAGCACATGTAAAAATCTATAAAACCGAATCACTCACGCTGATTGTTATTTTGTTACTAGTATTCGATGTTGCAGAGGTCAATACCCTAGCCATTATGTCATCGCGTTTCTAATGTCGTACACTAATAATACCATTAAATAATTTTTAAGGATATGAATTGATAACGCTCTTTTTTAATGTCCTCAACTTACTTCGTTCCCTATAAAAATTTTAAAAACTAAACTTGCCTCATTAAAGGCGTTATTATCTCACTAGTTTATAAATAGTAATTAATGGTGATTTATGATAATTTCTTTTTAATTATGCCCCGTGCCATGATGTTTCTCAAGCGAATGTAGTTTGAAAAGCGTAATTTTGTAATTTCTTAATCGTGCCAAAAGGGCTTAATTGATCGTTTTTAAAAATTTTAATTTGCATTTTATTGAAGTTTAATTTATTTTAACTGATTTTTTTTTCAAAATCGGTGATTATTTTTACATCAGTTTATAATTTGTGTTGCAGTGCTTCTATATCATTGATTTTTATTCAGCTATGATCTTACTTCTCGACAGTGTACTCTTTTCCAAAGGCATAATATGTGCATACTTTTATATGTATTTAGTCTAATACGTTTATTGTTTGCTGTCAGCGCTCTTTCTCTTCTTAGATTATAATTACATCGAGGCAAAGTCAACCTACTTTATTTCCACAATCCACTTCACTCTATCTTTGAAATATTTCTCGAATAACATGCATTCATTTTCCATCACGTAGCATTTCATTGATTTCAGTCATATAGATTATATAAAGTTAGACCTAATAAGATACGCTAGTCTCTACAGGCATTGGGAAAGACGAAATTTACATTTACATACACATATCTTTAAAATGTTAGCACTATTGTGCTTTCAAATGTCTCCAAAAAATAGATCCGCAGTACGTTATTTTTTACAGGAATACGAGATAATCACAGATGCGCCAGTTACCATATTTATTTCTCAAATTAACCCCGCAAAAATATAGATTAAAGAATTGCGCTTCAGCCTGCATTACATTTATTTTATCGTATTACTTTTAGTACAAGTGATTCACGTGCTTCTATCAGGACTCCGTCTGCCTTGAGAAAATCCCTGCAAACAGAAAGTAGAATCATTACAATTATAATTCGTAAATTGAATTACAAAGCTATAACGAATGAAGGAAAGAAAGAAATGCGTTAGATAACTTGTTCCCACTTTTAAAATTCAAATAAACATAAAGAGGGAAAGGATCTAGATGAATTGCGCACCAGAAAGTGTGACTGTTTAATGTTTATTATTTATTGCAACAGCCTTAAACAAGGATTACAATGGGCGAACTAATGCCTTTTAGCATTCTCTCCCAGTCAAGTCGTGGTGAGAAATCGTCGTAGGTGCAGTATTATATTAACTATTTGTATGTAGTGATAATATACAATATATACAGGCACATAAACATATAATAAGTTGTTAAACCCATACATCATGATATAATCATCATCAAAATATAAATCGCATATTTTACCGTTGGTTATGAATATGGTTTAATGAGTATCTGTAGAACTGAAAGATCATGTCATTACGTAGTATAATCAATTTCAACGTGAAATGGCCGCCACGAGAGAGATCTCTCAATTTCACTTGTGTCTCGTTCTAACACTTCCCAAACAGTAAATCCTTACTTCGTGTTGAGAAGCCACTTATTTGCGGATCTGAAGGTAGCGACAGTAATCATGAAGGAGATACCTTTAAATATTCAACTAAAAGCCTTGAATCTGTTAAGTATTATAAATCCAGTTATCCCCGACGTTTGAGCTTAATAATGGGCAGTACATTTAAATATTCAGTAGCTAAACTGGTGCTAATATTATTTCTTATTCAACAGTTAATAGATTAAAAGAAAATAAATATATGTATAAAGTCATAAACGCGTTAGTCAATTCATATTTTTGTTATGTCACTGCGTAACAGAAATAAGAAATTATAACTTAATACTTACTAGGTAAAAGGGACTGTGCTAAAAATCAATTCAAAGCAAAAAGAAAACTACAAAGTGATTTCGAATAAGATGTTATGCTTACTTCAATTATTACAAGAACTGCGGAGAAATATATAATAATATATGAATAATTAGAATAATGTAATATACATTATTCTAATAATAAACATAACCAGCAAAGGCATAATTTTAGGTACGAAATTTAATTAAAATTATTAAACATGTCTTTACCACACATTCGTATCTGTAATATTGAGAAACTACTAACGGGTGCATCACAGAGCCCACTATCAGATCAGAAATGTCAATCGCATAATAATTAATCAGAACCTTTGGTAACTATGACTAGACATGTATTACATTTCCTTAACATTTTGGCTACTTAACATGTTGCGCCTTGAGAAAGCTTGCGAAACATGCGAAGTAGGTTGGTATTATATTGGATTTATCAGACCCATGTAAGTACTCAATACAAGTAAGTAATACTTGAATGTAATTCAAAATTATATTCACCCTATATTCTTCGCCGACTGAATGCTGCTGACGATAACTTCTAACTGCCCTGAGACATTTTCAAAGTAGGTCAAGTCCAAATTTGTAAACTTCATCTCTGAAATTAACAAGCGCTACATAGGTTTCGCCGTCATACCACCTAAAAATGAAATGTAAATGAATTTATTTTGTTTTATAGAAATATCAACAGTTTGTTATTGACTTTTTATTGATGTTATTAGTTTCTAGTAGTGCTACTACAAACAAGTATTATTTCCGATATGATCAACATCACACTATAGTACCTGCCTATCAATGAGATATCATACTTGTTCAGTGAAGCTATTATTATTGATATGCTGATATTACAAATGAGAGACGTTTTTATCAAATTTATGTATAACAATGTGTCAAACAAGCAAGCAAATGATAAATATAATCAAGAATCGCCTCGTTCAGAATCTTTACTAAAATTAAACCTCAAGGTTTTAGATTTACAAGCACTAGAGTTCTGAGGACTGAGAGTCTGTTTTCCAAGGGGTCAGAATAATTCGTCCATTACTAACAAACCTTCTAAAAGCAAGAACATCGGAGTTAAATGCGACGGATTCGTATCGGCCGTGTCTAAATGCAGGTTCCTTTCGCAATTGAGCCAAAGCCTTGTAAACATTAATATGACTCCGCTCCGTTACTTGCTGCACTGCTACATTTAAAGATTCGTAACCGTCAGCCACTGGTAACCATGTCCTATCAGCAGTCGAGAACCCTACGATGTTAAAATATATGAAGTCAGAAAAAATTAAATTTTGAAATTAATTGGTTTTATTAAGATGGATTTTTATTCTGCTAACCTGCATTTTTCTCAGCACTCCACTGAAAAGGTGTACGTTCAGGATCCCTAGACGCTGTCCAGTAATTGATTGGATCATCCGTATTACAACCACTAGGGTCAACAGTGTCTTCCCAACTTATATACCCGTCCACCATACCTATTTCTTCACCCTACAACGATGATTTGATCTTCTTCGATGATTTGATATTTATTGTAATACATTATTAAATTAAATACTTAACATTTTAATACGGGATATTGATAAATAACTATTGATAAATCTCAATTTACGAAAAACTTACCATATATGTGACCGCTATGCCTGGTAGCAACAGCACTAACATATTAATACCATCAACTAGTTCCGGACTAAATCTTGAAGCAACTCTACTATTGTCATGATTCCCAGCCTATAAACGATTAAAACATATTTAAAATTTTGCTTGCATTTAAAAATTTTGCTTCAGGTAAATTAATATTTACCACCCAGTTCGCCAATTTATCTAGAGGTTTAAAAGTCAAGAATTTATCAAGGGCAAATTTAATTTCGGCTGCAGTAGAACTTCCATCGACATCAGATATAAGGACAAAGTTAAAAGGCATTTGGGCACCTTCACGCTCCCCATCCCCGAAATATCTCATAGTAATCTGTGGGCTTGCATAGGCTTCAGTCATCATCACCCGGGTTAGTCCATCCTTTTCTGTAAACTCGTCAAAAACTTCCCTCCACTGATAAACCATGTCATAAGTTTCGTCTTGATCTTTCGTGTAAATATGATCTAAATAATCATAGCTTTCGGGATCGTCAAGTTTATTACCCGATAATGGTTCATTAGGATATTTACCATCGAACTTTTCTTTATCAACTTCGAATAAATGCGCTATAGCATCCACTCTAAAACCGGCTACGCCCTTATCCAACCAGAATCTAAGAACATTTTTCATTTCCTCGACTACTTCCGGATTACGATAGTTAAAGTCTGGCTGCCCAATCACAAACTGATGTAAATAATACTTTCCAACTTCTTCACGGTATTCCCAAGCACTTTTTCGAAAGACGCTGTTCTAAAATCAAGCCATTATAGCAAATTTTATAAAGAAAACTCTTTTAATTAATGAAAAAATATTTAACCACTTCAATTTTACTAAATGAAACTATGTTTACGGATTTATTGCGTTTATTTAAACTTAATTTTTTTTTATCCAAAAATAAACGCGATAAATCCGTAAACATCGTTTCATTTAGTAAAGTGTAATTGCGTAAATACAACAAATTCTTACATATCAATTTTATTTTTAATTAATCTTGAGAGTTATAAAAATTTTAAAAATACCCAATTATTTGGTGGAAGTAGTGTTCCATTTTCGTCTACAATTCCATCTTCCCACATAAAATAATCATAGTATTTTTCATGGCCGTTAAGAGCTTCCTCAAACCAAATACTTTCATTGCTTCCATGGTTTGGCACAAAATCGAGAACTATTTTTATATCTGTAATGAATAACTATTTCAGGAACTAAACGAAATTTTTCTCAAATCTCAATCTTTTTAAGTATGTCAGCATTATAATATTTTTTTAAAATAACTTCTATATGCATGCAAATATCTGCTTAATACCTTTATTTTTATATAATAAGGATACATTTGGTATGTTCGTCGTAAATTAGTAATTAGTTTCATATCTTACCTAGTTCTTTAGCCTTTGCTACTAAATTTTCAAAATCTTCCATGGTACCGTACTCGTTTTGGACGGCATAAAAATCTGATATATCGTAACCGAAATCGTACATGGGTGATTGAAACATTGGCGAAAGCCAAGTTGCACCAACACCGAGTTCTTTCAAGTATTCCAGCTTAGAAGTTATGCCTGAAAGGAAATAACGAAAGAAATATACGTTAAATATAGGTCTTAAAAGTTGTGACGCCCCTTAGGTTCTACCATTTTTGGTGTAAAATTATTACATCTTACATTTATACATGCGAAGAAAACATAATTTAGGAAACTGTTAATTTTTTTTTTAATTCATTCAATCACTTGTGGAATAATAGCATTTACTTATAAGAAAATTAAACAAACTTCGCTTAGACAATTAGATATTCACCATTTAGATCCCCAATTCCATCTCCGTCGCTGTCCATAAACGATCTCGGATAGATTTGATAAAAGATTGTCGTTTCCCACCAATCCAGCTCTCTAGCCTGTTCAGTTGTTGGAACAAGCAACAAAAGTATGGGCAAAATAAACAGGTTCCATAATTTGGCCCTAGAACACAAGCGACGATACAGTTTTGTTATATTTTTAAACATATGAAACTAAAATCATATTCAATTGTAGAAATATTGATTTTTATGAAGAAGGAAACCAGTTATAACTAGACATAAAATAAAATAATATGTGATTCTATTTACGTAATCATTGAAACGTACCTCATGGTGCCCGCGATGAAATTGATAATACTTTTTATTCTCCATCTTTTATATCAATAACAACATAATAGAGTTTATGATAAAATACACTATAGAAGATTCGTTTTACTGATATTCATATAAAGCCTCATCTCTATCAAAATTATCTAAATGATGACATTTATAAATTATGAAGGTCTCTCATTGACAACCCCTTATCTAAGCCATTTCAATGATGTAAACACTTTACATTTAACTGTACAGCCTAAGGGCTCGTGATGGTCCGACCTCCTACTTTATTTTATTAATTATTTATTTATAGTTTATATACAGAAGTATATATACAGAGGCAGATTTAGTGCCATCATTATTATCTGCCAGTCGACCTTAGGGTGGTCCGGAGAAGATTATGTGTTTCCATTGATTATAGTTTATAATAATTAAAAAGAGCAATCATTTAAATTTGAAAATAATATGTTACACATATACCTAACATAGCATATAACATATTTGTCATATTAAAAAAATAATACCTATTATACCAATATTAACATAAAATAAAATAAACATACTTAAAAACACAATACATACACACCGTTATATTTAATCGTATTACTTATAAAATATACATACTTCTATATACAACGATACAAATTTCTACGGTCAATGTTTCGAGCAAGTGCTCACGTGTATCCCTGCGCATGTTCCGACCACAGCCAGGTGGGAACATGAAATCATTTTTAATAGTTAAATAAATTTATTGATTTTTTAAAGAGTCAAATTTTAAAGAAAACTTACTCCGGAATACTTTTATTTGCAAGCGAAAGCTTTTATTCAATACTAGCTGACTCGGCAAACGTAGTTTTGCTATATAAATTATTTCTAGAGGAATCGGAACGCACGCATAAAGTGTTTGACAGTTTACAGGTTGACAGGTACAGTTTGTATGGGAAAATAAAATTGTTGCTATTTCGATTCTCCATGCAATTTTTTCATAATTTCTCATCGTTTAAACCTTCCCTGGACTGCCACAAATATTTCAAAACCAAAATTAGCCAAATCGGTCCAGCCGTTCCCGAGTTTTAGCGAGACTAACGAACAGCAATCCATTTTTATATATAAGATTTAAATCAAAGTTTAATTTTGCCTTTCTGCTTTGAGGGAAGTTAATCATATTCCTAACTTAAAAAATCGCCAACAGAATTACAATTTTAAAATTCTATTGCATTTAGTCCAAAATAAATCAAATGTGGACGAACGTATTTTCCAGATTTTTTTTCCATTTTTTTATATCATATATCTCATCTTATAACTCCCAAATCCCCGCAAAACTCTAGCTCTTGTGCCATCACGTCGTAGTCATCACGTGTATCTTTATATACATAATTCTTCTAAACGTGTGTATGTCACTGAACTCCTAAACGGCTGGACCGATTATAATGAAATTTTTTGTGTTTTCCGGTCGAATCGAGAATGGTTTAGATTAACAATGATTTTTTTTAAATAATCGGATCTAAGCCGTGTGTACAGGACATCGTCTGCCCGGTCCGCTAGTATATAATGTATAATACTGATTTTGTCTGATAATCTAAAGAGCACCGTTGCGTGGACATATAAGTTGGTGTAGCTTAGGCTTTTCTGATGTGTATATGTTAACCGATAATATTTTTGTGCTTCATTATATCATACCCAATAGCCAACTGGAGAATATTCCTATACAAGTTAAAAATAAAAAAAATAATAATAATCAAAGGACTTGATCCTAAATGACCTGAATGGCGTAGTGTGTAGTATACCTGCCACCTGCGCTAGAGAGTTTGGGCTCGATCCCTACTACTGGAAAAACATTTTGTCTTCTAGTGTCTGGATGTTTATATATATATGCGTATTTTTTAACAAAAGAAAAGTATGTTTAAGCACGTTTATCAGATTTCTAGTAGTAGATTCATAATATAAGCATTGCTTAATTTGGGACTAGAGAACGTGAACAACTTAAAGATCTGAACCATTTTATCTAGATACTTGTTGCCGTTTTATTTTTCATACTTTTTATATATATTTTTTGCAAGATTAAGACAAACGATTGATTATTTTCTTTTATAACTATTACGTGATTTTAAAATTCAAACAATGTCAATAATTCATAGTAAGTTTTATTGCATTATAATAATTAATGTATCCATTGCATGTAGATAAATCAGGGGAAAACGTATTTCAACACATTAGGTTAATATGTTTAGCCCAACTTGAGAACGATGCTCTCAAATCCAGCCACTGGCAAAGCGGACGCGTCAAACGTATCCCTGAAATCAAACATTACTGTGAAATAAACTGTTATGACCACTTTTTCGCATACCTACTTTTATATATGCATAATTCTCAACGCATAGAAATGCTACAAAATGACTTTTAACAATAGGACGAATAATTATCATAGTGCGTACTAGGCACTACAACGAAAAAACTTACGGCAATCCTATAATTTGATAAATATCTACACAAAAGTCATTACGTATTTTGTTATAAATGTCATAGTAAAACTATTGAAATTAAAACTATTTAAATTCTTAATCGTTTCGCTTACATTTCCCTGTACCATATCACGACACTGGTCACTGTGATATGAAAATATAGTAGTAATAATGAAGATTCTTTATGGGTAGCACTTTTATCGTAATCTCGTAGTAATAAATTTTATTCGCGTGTTCCTTACGGTTACCTTACTTACCCTTCATCTTTTGGTGAGTGAATACTACTTATGACAACAGTTACATCTCCATAAACGTTTTCGAAGTAGGTCAGGTCAACCACATGTTCGATGTCTCTCATATTAACTAAAACCAAATAAGTCTCACCCTTGTACCATCTAAAATGTTTGAAATTGTTAAACAGATAATTATTTGAAAATGTTGCAAGAACATGATAATATAATCTTTAATTCCATAAAATATAGTAAGTACAACTTTTCCATAACCTTATTGTTTTATTCTTAATTGCGTGCTATATCAAATGCTATGTAAAATTTAATTTGACAGCAGTTTTGAGTCAAATCTTGACACACATATTTGTTGTTAAATAATAGTCCTTGTTTATCAAAAATATTTACGATATTGTTATTATCTTTTAAAAGGTCTTCAATTTACTTACCTTCTGAAAACAAAAATGTCATTATTTAAGGCCAAAGAGTCGTAACGCCCATATCTAAATACTTTTTCATTTCGGAGATCCGCTAACGCCTCGTAAACTTTTAGATGAGATCTTTCGGCTGTTTTTTGAAATTCAACGTTTAGGGATTCATAACCTTCTGCTACTGGTAACCATGTTTTTTCAGCAGTGGAAAAACCTGAATAGAAAATCTAAGTTTACAAATACACTATTAAATTGAATTTTTTGACTTTCAATATTGTTCGGGCTTCGGATGGTTTCTATAACTTTGTTTTAAGTAGTTTACGGATTTTAATGAGTTTTAATTTTGATTTTTAATTCTCGACGTTTCGAACCCTTACCAGCGTTCATGGGCATGGGACAGACTGTCCCAGTTTCATTTAATATGTGTAATATCTGCGTTAAATCAAGAAATCAATTTGTTTAAATGATTTTTTTTAATTATTTTGCTATACAGAACAAGTCGCATAAGATTGCGTAAATTGAAATATGTTCAGCTAGATAAAAAACTTGGTAATAGTGCCAATATGCAGCATACCGGCATTTTTCTCCGCATTCCAGTGGAATGGTGTTCGTTGGGGATCCCTGGAGCTTTTGGCGTAATTAATTGGGTCATTTGTATTACATCCAGAGGGATCAACTGTATCTTCCCAACTAACGAAACCATCTACCATGCCAATTTCCTCACCCTTAAAAATAAAGAAATCGCTAGCTAGTAATATTTTTTTGATTATATGTGTTTTATACAATACGCAAAAATGTAAATTTCATGCCGTTGCAATTTAAAGAATTTTTCCATACCATGTACGTTACAGAAACTCCCGGTAGCAATAACGTGATCATGTTTATACCATCAACCAAAGACGATCCATATCGGGTTGCCATGCGACTATTATCGTGATTACCCACCTAGAATAAAGACAATAGGACATGTGACAAAAAGAGGCATTTTAAAGGTAGCGGCATTGAGCAATACGTTGTGTGTTTAACACTTACCACCCAGTTAGCTCTTTTATCTACTGGCTTGTAAGTAAGAAATTTATCTACGGCTCGCTTCATGTCAGCAGCTGACGAAGATGCGTCTACATCTGTAATTAAATTGAAGTTGAACGGCATCTGGGCGCCAAGCCTCCCACCTTGGCCAAAGTATTTAACTACATCTTGTACTGTGGCATAAACTTCGGTCATCATTACTCTAACTAGGCCATCCTGTGCCTTGAATTCATCTAAAACGTCCCTCCACTCGTATACCATGTAGTAGGTTTCATTTCGGTCTTTTGTGTAAATATGTGAAAGGTAATCGTATGACTCCAGGTCTACGTCAACCCTGCCTGATAGCGGCTCATCTGGGTACTTTCCACCATAAAGCTCTTTATCGACCTCAAACAAACAGTTTACTGCGTCAACACGAAATCCAGCGACACCTTTGTCCAACCAAAAACGGATAATGTTCTGAAATAAGTGAAAAGATAAAATTTTCTCAACTAATGTTATAGTATAAATAAATAATTCCAATTATAAATCATTAAATCATATTTATTGACTCTGTACGAGTATTTGACGCATAAACCAAAATCATATTAGTTTTAACGTTTTTTTGTTTAAATTGGTTTCTATTAATAATACTGTGGCCATTATAAATATGATATCCATAAATCAGTAGCAAACCTTCATTTCATCGACAACATCTGGATTGCGGTAGTTCAAATCTGGTTGGCCCACAACAAACTGATGGAGGTAATATTTGCCTACTTCTTTTCTGTATTCCCAAGCACTTCCTCGGAATTGGCTGCGCTGTAGAACAAATTTCAATAAGACGTTAATTAATAGCTTTTACTCAAAAGTAGTAAGTTCATTGCTTCGAAAATAATATTGTACGTAGAAAGCCAAACAAAACGTTTTCCACTCAATAATATTAACTATTTTTAATATGACTAGTGGTCGCCTAGTTGTCGATATTTGACCATATTTATTCATGGTAGCGTGTGTATAGTATTTTTATGCACAATTTTAAAAGATTACCATTCTGCACTCCTTCTCTATATAAACTATAATTGTGGGAAAATTCATACTCCTCCGTCCGCGCAATTTTCGTAAATGGAATACAAAGTTTTTGATTCACGTATACATATATAGATAACTAATAATACCCAATTGTTTGGAGGCTGCATGTTTCCATTTGCATCTATAACTCCGTCTTCCCAAACAAAATAGTTGTAATATTTTTCATTGCCTTTCAAAGCTTCTTGGAACCACTGACTTTCGTTTGATGAATGATTTGGTACCAGATCTAGCACTACTTTAAGATCTGAAATAAATGATTGTAGATGTTGTAAGACTATATATGAATAAACATCATAATGTAACGATTTTTGCATGTAGTAGTAATAAACACCTTACCTAACTCATTGGCTTTCTGAAGTAAAGCATCAAAATCCTCCATAGTGCCGTATTCATCGTGTATAGCATAAAAATCAGATATGTCGTAACCAAAATCATACATTGGCGATTGGAATATTGGCGAGAGCCATATTGCTCCGACCCCGATTTCCTTCACGTATTCCAGCTTAGATGTAATACCTTAAATAGTTTAACCGTTAAAAGCGTTACAAACATCAAAAAACTAGATTCAAACGTAGATTCTAGTCACAGGCGCAATGAAACTTCTGAAACATCGTAATATGAAGCGGTCCTTGGATGTAAAACCATTAAAAATAGTATTGAAACAATAATTTTTATGACTCGCTAAATTTCCTATGATCTGCGTAAAAAATTAGATACTATACTTACCATTTAAATCACCGATACCATCACCGTTGCTATCGGAAAAGGAGCGGGGATATATTTGATAGAAAATCGTCTTCTCCCACCATTCTAGTTCTCTTTCATCCTCCTGTTTTATTGCGCTACCGAAACAGGAAATTATTAAAAACGGCAGAAAAACAACCGCCCTCATGATATGCAATACCTTCGGAACACTTACAGCAATAGAATGATTGATTACAAAAGCTTGCATTTAAATAAACTTCTTGGGTCTTGAAGTTGTTTATCATTAGCGATATACGATTATAGCCACTTGTTTTTCTTGATAAGAACTTTTCCGTTGATTAATTTAATTTATCGCAAGTGCTTATTTCTTTAGAAGTCTTTGACAAATATTATAATTTAAATAACTCCTATAAGTGTTATTTTATCTCTTAATACATAAGAGATTAATGTATTCATATTTCAAGTCAAAATTTAAAAATTCTTACACATTTTATGCAAACATGCATTTCAACGAGTTTGTTATCACAAAAAGAGAAAAATGCATAAGTAAGACTTTTATATTTATTCTTTTTGCACACAACAATAAATATACAGAAATGGAATTAATGTCATCAGCATTATCTGCCTGTCAACCTTGGGGTGATCCAGAGAAGATTGGGTAGGTGCATTGATTATACAAAAATAAAAAATCGTTAATTTTATAATGTCTTGTTACATATATTTAACTTAAAATACTATAATTTTCATACTAATAATGGTACTATACCAATATTAACATGAAATGATTACCGAGATCTATTTAAACAGCCTTGGGTGATGTCACAATTTTTCATGTGACCCGTTATTTTTGCGTTTTGTATAACAGTAGGTCTTCGAACAACCCAGTCTGTTCTGTGAATGTGAATATATTTAGGGCACTGGGCGTCATCGGGTCATTTATATACGGCTGCAAAATTCTGTAGTCTTGTGACGCCGGTCTTTAATAGTTATTTCTTTTCATTTAAATAAAATAATAAGTGTCCGGGTAAGTATCATGACCTAACAGAAAACCGGCGTGAAGTGGAAGTATTATAACTCCACTTCATTTTATCAAAGGATGGCAACGGTATCTGCAACCCTACGGACATTGCAAACGTCCACGGGCGACGGTTATCACGCAACATCAGGTGAACCGCCAGTTCGCTTGCCACCTTCTCACATTAAAAAAAAATGTTTGTTGCCGTTTAATATTTCATACCCAAATGCCAGACAGAACAATGTTCCAGGACATGTTAAGAATAAAATTAATAATTATAATGCGTAGTGACATTAATCTTATACATGGCAGGATTAAATTCATACAATGAAAGTGATTCATAATAAGTTTTATTGCTTTATAAATGTATTGCTGCATTGAGATAAATCGGCGAAAAACGTCTTCTAAAATATGTTTAGCCCAACTTGAGAACAACGCCCTCGAATCCAGCTACGGACAAAGCGGACGCATCAAACGTATCCCTGAAATCAAAACACTACCGTGAAATTAACATTCGTGACCTCTACTTGACATAACTACTCTTATCTATGAATACTTCTAAAATCTGAATACTTCTTACATATAGAAATGCGTTTTTTTTTTGTATTTTTCTCAAGCATTCATTAAAACCCAAAAACCCTCACCTCGATTTAAAATGATGTTTGGATAGTAAGGTTAATATCATACTAGACTATAATATACAAAACAAAATCACTATCGGCAATCATATCTCTTGATAAATATTCATCAAATATTATGAAATGGCGACACAGAAATCATTATTTATATTGTTGTTACAAAAATCAAAAGTGAAACTTTCAGAATTATAGTTCGTTTAGTTCTAAATCGTTTCGCTAACACTTCATAGCACCAGTTCACGACACTGGTCATTTTAATAAAAAATATAGTAAAACATATGAAGGTTCTTTATCGGAAGCAATTTTTATATCATGGTAATTTTTATTCGCGTGTTCCTGTGGTCCATGGTTACCGTACTTACCCTTCATCTTTTGGTGATTGAATATTTCTTATGACAACAGTTACATCTCCATAGACATTTTCGAAGTAGGTTAGGTCAACCACATGTTCGATGTCCCTCATATTAACTAAAACCAAATAAGTCTCACCCTTGTACCACCTAAAATATTTTAAAAATATTAAAAGATTCGATAAATTTTAAAGTATATTTAAACTCTTTGAATTGATCATTCTGATCATAAAGAAGATCATTCTGGTCAATTCAGAGAGTTTAACCATCCTTTTGGTACCTAAATTGTAATTTGAAATCACTTTGACAGCTGATTAGTTGACATCTACGATGATCAGTGTTTCTGAAACCGGGCGTTAGTGTTTTATACTTAATTGCGTCCAATATCAAATGTAATGAAAATTTAATTTGACAAATATTTTTGATTAAAATCTTAATACACCTCTTTGTTGTTTCTTTGCGTATAAAACAATTGTAACCTTATTTAGCAAAAATATATACGGATTGTTATCTCTTATCCTTTAAACGGGCAATTCTTGTATATATATATAAATCTTTAGTCGGAATCTCAGAAACAGCTCCAGCGATTTTCATGAAATTTAGTATGTGTGTAGATTCGGGGGCGAAAAATCGATCAAAATGGACATTTTCTAAAAATGAAACCTAATTAAGGTTTCATTTTTAGAAAATGTCCTTTTATCCCTGTTTTCAGGGAATGAAAAATATCATTCGAATATGACGGTAAATTTCGCCGCATAATTTTTTTTTATAATAGCTTGGTCGGTAATCGGGCAGCCCCAAAACAGACGGCCGCGGTTCGTATCACGATCATTTACACACTTATTTTTTTACTTTTTTTTCGATTCCAGATCATTGCTTTCTTTATTTATTATTTTTTGTCGATTTGTTATTTTGTTATTTTTTTCAGTTCTTTCTTTTGTGAAAAACACCAGTTCATATTTTCTTATTAATACGTCGGTAAGATCGAAAAATATTATGCATATTTTTATTACTCAGTAATTTGTATCTAAATGTAATTTCCAAAATAAACGATTTACTAAAAAAAAACAAGCCGAGCAAAGCTCGGTACCGGTCCTCCAGGTACTTATCTTTTAAACGGTCCTTAATAAACTTACCTTCTGAAAACAAAAACGTCATTGTTTAACGCCAAAGAGTCGTAACGCCCATATCTAAATACTTTTTCATTTCGGAGATCCGCTAGCGCCTGGTAAACTTTTAGATGAGATCTTTCGGCTGCTTTTTGAACTTCAACGTTTAAGGATTCATAACCTTCTGCTACTGGTAACCATGTTTTTTCAGCAGTGGAAAAACCTGCATAAAAAACTGAGTCATCATCATCATCATTTCAGCCTGTTTAAGTCCACTGCTGAACATAGGCCTCCTCCATAGACCGCCACGAAGATCCTGAGCCATCCTGCATCCATCGACTTCCCGCACATTTGCACAGGTCGTCACTCCATCTAGTGGGGGGGGTCGTAAAAACTAAGTAAACTTACTTATTTACATATATTGAAGATTTGGTTTTTTTTATATATTTACACAGTTATTAAGTAAATCAGGGTTAATATTTTTTTTATATTTTTTTTTGAGTTCTTAGATTAATATGGCCTTTCTACGACTAATATAATATTCAGTTGGCTTTGATGACTAAAACATGGTAAGTATCGGGCAGAAGCGTTGTTTCTGCTGAGCTCTGCGTTTATTTATCTTCCTATCTGTTGGTGTGTTCGGCTATAATTTGATATAATATAATTATACTTTAATAATTGATATTACACAAACGTCGTGATATGACCTAGGAACGTGAAACTCTCAATGTATTTTAAAACAATATAACCATTATTATTCCGTTTTCTTATTATAAATTTAATTTGGGTTTCGTTTGGTTTCCATATATTTTTAATGGTAATATTTCCTTTAATTAATTTGCAATACAAATAAAATCGCTTAGGATTGTCTAAATTGGAATAAACTTATCCAGTTAGATGAAAAATTTGGTAAGAGTGCCAAGATACAGGCATTTTAGGCATACCGGCATTTTTCTCCGCATTCCAGTGGAATGGTGTTCGTTCAGGATCCCTGGAGCTTTTAACGTAATTGATTGGGTCATTTGTATTACAACCAGAGGGATCAACCGTATCTTCCCAACTAACGTACCCGTCTAGCATACCAATTTCTTCCCCCTTAAAATTAAAAAAACGTTATCTAGTAATTACTAGAACATAAAAATATAATTGCAAGTTAAATAATTCCTGTATACCATATACGTTACACCAACTCCGGGTAGCAACAATATGATCATGTTTATTCCATCAACCAAAGACGATCCATATCGGGTTGCCATACGACTGTTATCGTGATTACCCACCTAAGTTAAGGACAAAAACATGTGACATTAAAGAGGAAGATAAAGTCATTGAGCAAATCTTTTTCTGTTTATTACTTACCACCCAGTTAGCTGTTTGATCTACTGGCTTGTAAGTAAGAAATTTATCTACTGCCCGCTTCATATCAGCAGCTGATGAAAATGCGTTTACATCCGATATTAAATCGAAATTAAACGGCATCTGAGCCCCAAGTTTCTCTCCTTCTCCGAAATATTTTACTACGTCTTGTACTGAAGCATAAACTTCAGTCATCATTACTCTAACTAGGCCGTCCTGTGCCTTGAATTCATCGAAAACGTCCCTCCACTCGTACACCATGTAATAGGTTTCGTTCTGGTCTTTGGTGTATATATGCGAAAGGTAATCGTGAGACTCTGGGTCCACGTCAACTCTACCAGATAGCGGCTCGTCAGGGTACTTTCCACCATAAAGCTCTTTATCGACTTCAAACAAACAATTGACGGCGTCGACCCGAAATCCGGCGACACCCCTGCCCAACCAAAAACGGATAACGTTCTGAAATAAGGGAACAGATGACATTTTCTCAAATAATGTAATGATACGATTATATTTTCCTATAATATATATTTATATCATATTTAATAAGTTACTTTAGATATTTAGCGAATATACCGGGAACATATCAGTTTTAACTCGGTTTATAGTTTTTGTGTTTTCGTTTAACTATACTGTAAAAGTGTCTATGTGAGAATTCATAAATTATTAGTAAACCTTCATTTCGTCGATAACATCTGGATTGCGGTAGTTCAAATCGGGTTGGCCCACAACAAACTGATGGAGGTAATATTTGCCTACTTCTTCCCTATATTCCCAAGCGCTTCCTCGGAAATGGCTGCGCTGTAGAACAAACATCAATTAGACGATAATTAATATATCTTACATTCAAAAGTAATAACTTACTATCGTGTAAAAAGCATAACAAAATGTTCTAGCGTAATCACATTAACTATTTTTAATATGATAATTAATAATACCCAATTGTTTGGAGGCTGCATATTTCCATTTTCATCGATAACTCCGTCTTCCCAAACAAAATAGTTGTAATATTTTTCATTTCCATTCAGAGCTTCTTGGAACCACTCACTTTCGTTCGATGTATGATTCGGTACCAAATCTAGCACTATCTTAATATCTGAAATAAACGATGGTAGTTTTTATAGGGATATAGATAGTATAAGGCTGTTGACATCTAAATCTATAAGTAATTGCTTAAAATTATATTGGTATAAATTATATAAAGAATTTCTAAAAACTATCTTTATACTAAAGGTACATATTTTACAGCGTATGATCAAGGTTGCACGTTTAAAACAATTAGGTTGTAAACATTTAGAGCTTAATCTCGATAGAATTGGTCCGTGATAGTCCTCAAAAGCAATGTTACCTAAATTAATACATTTATTCTCAAATTTTAGTTTTTAACATTTTTTTTCCACTGTGGTAGGGCCTGCAACAGTCTTCGCTATTGCAAGAATAGACAGGGGCAGTACAACGACCTCACAGAAGACCGGGGTAAAATGTAACTTAGTTGAATGTTATACTTCTGCGTTTCTTCTGGTGAGTGAGGTTACCGACGCTCATTTAAATAAAAGTTGGCAACATCCCAATGGTTACTTAACATTAACCGTGCCTTGCCATCCTCTAACATACAAAACTTAATAACAATTTTATGAAAGGAGTTTCCTTTCTTCTTTCTTCCCTTTAATCTGGAAATACGATTTTCAAATTAATATCTAACGCAACGCTTGCAAAATGTATCTATAGCGTTCGTTGGTTGGCTATTTAAAACTGGCCTTAATTTTAGTATGCATAAAACTGACATAATGAATTTTTAAGTCTTATCATACAATAAAATAAAATTTTAATTCTTACCTAACTCATTGGCTTTCTGAAGTAAAGCATCGAAATCCTCCATAGTGCCATATTCATCATGGATAGCATAAAAATCGGATATATCGTAACCAAAATCATACATTGGCGATTGGAACATTGGCGAGAGCCATATTGCTCCAACCCCAATCTCCTTCACATATTCCAACTTAGATGTAATACCTAAAATAATCATTAAAAGGGTTACTCGTCTGAAATTATAATATAGACTTCTGAAGATTATAATACATAGATAAAAGGGCTACTCTTCTAAAGAATTCTTCTGAAAAATCGTAATATCGAAGAGATCAGAATCTATATCCAGATCATGTAAGTCCACTCATAATAGCATTGAACCAAATAATTTAATGACTCTACTTCGATAACTTAAAATCTTAGTTGTTAACTAACCACTAACTAACAACGCTAGATGCCTTACGGGATACGTAAAAAAATTACACACTATACTTACCATTTAAATCACCGATACCATCACCGTTGCTATCAGCAAAGGAGCGGGGATATATTTGATAGAAAATCGTCGTCTCCCACCATTCTAGTTCTCTTTCATCGTCCTGCTTTATTACATTACCGACACATGAAATGATTAAAAAAGGCAGAAAAACAGCTGCCCTCATGATAATATGTAATACTTTCGGTAGCACTTACAGCAATAGAATGTATACCAAATCTTGCATTTTAGTAAACTTTTTGGGTCTTGAAATTGTTTATCATTATTGATATGCATTCATAGCCACTTGTTTTTCATGATAAGAACTTTTCCGATGGTCATTGTTATTTATCGTAAGTGGTCGTTTTTTAGAGTTCGTTAATGATTTAGTTGTTTTATTTAAGTTACTCCTATAAGCATACAATTTTATCTCTTAATGTATAGGAAATTATTTCACTCATTTCCTCAACGTAAAAGCTTAAAAATTCTTGCACATTTTATCACAAAAATGACTAATATTTATAAATCCACCTTTTGTGTCGAAGTTGAAGAAGAGATATACAAATATCAGCTAGTCCTAATTTAGTCTAGTCAATTTTACATTTTAATTAATATTCCATAACTATTACAAAAATTTTACTATCACTGTCACCATCATTGTCGTAAGCTTTGTCGATTTTAGGTTCATACATTAAAGTTAATGTAAATAGCAATAGAAAATTGACACGGAAAGGATTTTCCAGCACTGTTTTACGCACTTCCAATTAAAACTCAATATTAACCCTGATTAGTTTACAGTCTGTGCTTGCGTTATTAAAATCAATTCTAAAAGAAAACCATGAAAATGGCCTAGCATAACCATTACGTTAATACGAGAGATATCGATAAGGCATGATAAATATTTCATGCCAAGTGTAGGGGGATACAGTGTCAATCAAGCTGCAAGAAGATAATAATTTTATCTGAGTTCAAGTATAGTTTGTTCAACGCTTATCACGAGTGCGGGAGGTAATGCTTCCCTTGTGACATTGGAACTTCTTTCCACTTGTTCAAAATTAAAAGTGATTCGAAATGAAACAAATTCATGAAAACGAAAGATATTATACTACGATAATTATGAAATGAAGATAATTTGTATCGTTCCACATTATCGAATTATAAGACAAATAAATTTGAAAGAAAAGAAAATCACTGAAGTGTCCCTATTTCTCAATGTTAAATTAGGTCAAATCTGCATCCGCAAGACCAAGGCTTCATCAGCAGACAAATCCAAATAACTTGCCATAACGTTGTCACTGAAAACGAAATTTAGATCATTCTTGATCGTGTAACATTTTTAAAATATGTGATATACAGCGTGTCGTTACCAACGCGACAATAAATGAACACACATATAGAGGATAAATTTTTAAAATTGTATTAAACATTTACATTCTTCAAACATAAATATTTACAGAGTTATTAAATTTTCCAAAACAAACAATTTTAGAACACCCTTACGTATAAAACTGTAACGTAAAGTTCATTTGTAAAGGTCACAAAGCATATGAATGGGTTGAATGAATTTAAAAGAGACAAAACATACTGTTAGAAGGAGAGGCTTGTAATGCGACGCTGTGGCGCGAGTTGTATACTTAGAGTTGTATCGTATAAATTGTTACAAATTTTGTTTCTTTTTTACTTAAATTAGTTTGTTTGAAAAATATTTTTTTTAATTATGGATTTTCTTTAACGTTAATATTTTTTTATGATTATTGGCAAGTAGTGTTAGATGTGTGTTCATTTATTGTCGCGATGGTAACGACACGCTGTATATGATAAATACCTGTAAGTACGCGATGAAAGGATACTGCTCACTTCGACTTCTAGTTGACCAAAGACTAAATCGAATGCAGTAAGGTTAACGACTTGATACGATTTTCCGAAGTTCATAACGACAACATAAGTGTCATCATTATACCACCTGAAACAGAGCACTTTGACTGTCAAATATAAATGTCCTATTACGTATGCGTACTGTTTCTACTTTCTCAATAAATAATAATAACAATATGTAATAATAATTTCGTGATAGCTCGGTGTCTGGTGTACAATGAAGTTGTTAATTGTAATTTTAAGTACTGATTTATCGCAAGTGAAGGAAAATATCCATAGGAAATCGGCATATTTTTGAAGCGATTTACATTATACATTTTGAAATACTGACACGTTTTGCACGCAGTTGCCGTCTATTTTATGAGAAAATTGGCAAGTGAGCAAAAAGTTCATCTATTGTTTAGTGCTTACCGCCTCCCATGGACATCTGAAACGCCTGAGAGAAAACGGGTGCGTTGCCAACCTTTATATACAGTGGATCCTGGCACCTATCTCTATAATATATCTAATATAATAATTCTAACTTCTACTAGCTATTAGCTAATAGATGAAGTAAACCTTAACCTGAAATATAAACATAACGTAACCTTACGTAACCTTAAACGTATGCTAACTGTAAAATGTGCCTAACTAGAAACAAAAACATACTTTTCATTAAATATTAACACGCAACACTATGTTCATCACAAAGTAATTTTTCTGTAGTGGGGATCGGACCCACACACTCTTGTGCAAGAGATAGGTTCACTATCCAATATAGCAATAAGGTCGTCAAATGGTCTAACTAAATTATATTAATCACTGTATGTTTTTAAGACATATTGTTTTATTTAAAAAGAAGAATCGGTTTCTAAAGAACTGTTATTCATCCTACCACTAAAATTTATCCCCTCAGATTACCTTTTTATTACCTTTTGAAAGCAAACACTTCCTGGTTGAGAGCTAACGACTCGAAACGACCAAGGCGGAATGCGGGGCGGAGACGCAAATTGGATAGCGTCCGATACACTTGGTAGTGGGATCGAATCGCTGAGCGTTGATTGGCTACGTTCAAGTTTTCATAACCTTCGGCGACGGGGAGCCATGTTTTAGTGGCTGTTGAAAATCCTACAAGCAGGAACGAAGTAAATGTGGCAGACTGGTGAGCCATCAATCCGAGGGAAAGCCCATTAACACCCAGAATACATAATGGGTTAGTGTGCGTTGTGAGCATTGGCCTCTATATTATTGTCTCACCCAATGCTTTACAGGTTTCTTTATGCTCTTCTTTGAGATTTTATTAATTTGAACTTCTGCGATTAATCCGATCCATAAATGCTACTGCAGAAACTGCGATGTATGCTACCAGATTGATTTTATTTTCATGTACATTTGAAAACAACAAAGTTTATTTCGAATGTAATTCATTGCTTGAGACAGTACTTATAAATTATATTGTAAATGTGGAGATTGTGAATATCTTATACGTTCTCGTGCTTGACATAAATAGTTAATGCTTGAATATGTAAATAATAAAGTTAGTATATACCAGCATTTTTTCCATTACTCCACTGAAACGGCGTGCGGGCTGGGTCACGAGAGACGTCAATAAAACTGACGGGATCATTTGTATTACATGCCACTGAATCTCTTGTTTCAACCCATGGAACAAATCCATTTAACATACCCATTTCTTCACCCTTCAAAAAGCAATGATATGTTATGTATGTAATAAAGACATGTGTAAATGTTTGGAACATAAAATAACAACACATATTCTATAAAATGGCATGGCCAGTCTACATCAGACATGAAATCTTAAAGTCGCTAATTCTAATTCCATGACTTGAAGAAATGAGTATGTAGTTTTTTTTTTTATCTCTGAGCTACCAACATCACTATCGCTTAACGCTTTTCGCCAGATAGTACAGCGAATAAACCACTGGTCCCGCTTGAAATGTAACGAGAATGGTAGGAACATCAGTTAAAAGTGGATATTGCATGCTTCAATCATTTTTACCGGATATAATACCAGACTATGATAAAAGGACGAATGAGCTAATTTAAAGATATCATCTTTTTATATTGAGCGACTTTGTGTCGCTCAATATAAAAATGTTATTAATATATTCAAAGAAAATTTAAATACTTTTAGCATTTATTACCTTTCATTACAGTACATACTGCGCTGCTACTTACCATATACGTCATTGCAATTCCAGGAAGTAACAAAACAAGCATATTGAATGCGTCTACTAATCCTGGTCTGAAGCGAGATGCTACACGGTGCGTGTCATGGTTTCCAGTCTACAAAACGAAACTAGTATTATATTAAAATTCAATCCTCGAAAACCTTCTATACAATTAAAACGTTTAACCATCTTTTGTGGTACCCCTAGACTTTTACACGTAAGTGTAACGTCAATACCTAACGTTCCTACACAGAACAAAGTCAATAATTTCATTGGAAGACAGTCTATCTCCGAGACATCTTTATGGGTACAACTTAAATTTTCATCGGTATATAAAACCTAGAGTTACTTTATTTTGCTCTGTGATCAAAATCTTAAATACTCGTATAGAAATAAAAATCGTATAAAAATAGTTCACTTTAATCAAGATAATACGCAAGAACTAAAATAGACATAATATTTGATGAATCTACTACTAGACAGACTTCAACAGAATTTTAATAGGAGGATTATTGAAGCTCATTATTTTGGCCTATTATATAAGGTTATTTTCAATTATTGTCAATTTTCGTAAATAAATAGTAAGTTATTAAAAATTATTTAAAATTTGTATTAACGTTTATTTGGATTCCAGTTTAAATTGTCACTTACCGCCCAATTTGCATTTTTCCCTAGGGGCTTGTAGGAAAGCCATTGGTCTATAGCGTATTTGACGTCTCGAGCGTCCGATTCCTTGTTGATGGCATCAATCAATAAATGATTAACTGGTATATGGGCACCGACATGGAAACTGTCGCCATAATATCGCACTGCGTTTTTGATTCCAGTGTTTGCCACTGTCATCATTATTCTGAATGATATAATAAAGTTTATATCACATTTCAAAAGTTAAGGAAGCACTACCTGAATAATGAACTGAAACACATACAATTAGTTTACTTACATTATTCGTTTCGTACTGTCACTCTTGCTTACCTTGTAAAGTTATCCCTTAAGCTTATAGAGTCGATAACTTCTCTGAACTGCGACACAATTTCATAAGTTTCTTCTTGGTCTTTGGTGTAGACGTGATGTAAATAATTGTAATCGATATAATCTAAGCCTGGTTTCCCAGATATGGGTTCATCAGGATAATGCCCACCAAAGTTATCCTTATCAGTCTCAAAAATATAATTGATAGCGCCAAACCTCATACCTGCGACTCCTTTCTCTAACCAGTATTTAATGATGTTCTGAAAAAAGTATTTATAATAAACGTATAAAATATATATATTCATCAAGAATATTATATGTTAAATCAACCATAACAGAATATACCTATAAAAACTTTTTTATTTTATGCATTCCATAATTTTGACAACAAATTAATAATAACTCTTAAAAAAGTTACAAACCTTCATTTCTTCTACAACCACCGGATTTCTATAATTTAAATCGGGCTCGGCTTCGCTGAACTGATGGAGATAAAATTGATCTCTGCTAGGCATATACGACCAAGCGCTTTTTCTAAACACGCTTAACTGTTTGAAAATAGGATGTTTAAACAAAAATATATATATATTCATCTGTTAATAAAACAACCGTACCTAAAGGTACACAAATTGCAAATATTAATGTAATCTTCCAACCATATTAAGAGAAGAAGTCTTTAAGAGCCATGATAGCTCCGTGTTCGGGCGCTCGCCGTCAATTCAATATACCCCAGCAACCTGAGTTCAAATCTCCGGTGCCGGCACAAATTAAATTTTAAGTGCAGCTTATCAAGTGTTCAGCGGTGAAGGAAAAGACCGTGAGGAAACCTGAATGTTTTCGAAATAACAAAAAAATATGTTTCGGAGATATGTGAAGTTCGCCAATCCGTAGTGGGGCCACGTCGTGAAATATGCCCTAATACCCTGTGCATAGAGGAGGCCTTTGTCCAGCTGTGATACAAGTGTAGATGGGACTTTAGGAATAAACGAATTTCTTTACTAGAAACCAGTAAGGTCATTAAGTTATAATTTATGATTGTGACAGTTGCAACTGATATATAAAATAAGATACTTAAGCAGAATTGGTAATTAGAATAATCTGTAAACAGTTTTAAAAATTCCATGAAAAATGCTTTAAATAAAAATCCAAAAATGTTTTTGCTTACCCAATTATTAGGAGGCTGCTTTTCACCGCGGCTGTCGATATGTCCGCTCTCCCAAATATACCAGTCGCTGTAGTACTCATCTCTACTTGACGATTTAATAAACCACTCGCTTTCATTACCAGTATGATTTGGTACATAATCCATAACTATTTTAATACCTAAAATCGATACGTTTCTCTTCATTTTGTTTAAGAAATAAGAATAATTATAGTTATAAATTACAACAGCCAATGCGAATTTTTAACGCCGGTAAAAATATACTCTTATTTAATTAAAGTATGTAGAATGTTAGAACAAAAATGATATTAAAGTCATACTGAGTTCATTCGCCTTTTTAATGAGTTGCTCAAAATCTTCCAAAGATCCGTATTCGGGCTGAATACTGTAAAAATCGGAAACATCATATCCGAAGTCATACATGGGAGATTTGAAAATTGGTGACAGCCATGCTGCATCCACCCCAAGTTCTTTCAGATACTCCAATCTCGAAATGACGCCTAAAATTATTGATATAAAATATTTAATTATTGATGAAGACAAATATTTTAAAGTAAAAGATTAGTAAAACTGCCAATTTTTAAGAGCAATAACAAAATAAATCAATTTCCTATATGTGAATATAAAAATGTATTGAGAATTCTGTAGTTGAACAATTAAGAAGTTTATGATATTTATTACAATTCGATTTATCTCCTGTATTGACAGCATTGTCTCTATAAATCTTATAGCTCATCTCCAAGACTGTCACCTGACTACCTGCAACACTGTCAAACAGAACTAAATTTAATTGATAATATACATCTTCGTTATAAAGAAATCTTCGAGGTTTTTATCCATGTTTTAGACAGTCAGTAAGTACCTCACGAGTATCTGTAACGAGTGTTCTTCAAAGATAAGTTTTACATCAAAACTCCTCGATGTCTCATATTGTAAGTAGTGGCTGGGCAAAAAATATTGTACCATTTTATTTAAAAAACGTTTAAAAATCACCATTTAAATCTCCCACTCCGTCACCATCACTGTCCACGAAAGACCTGGTGTATATTTGATAGAACAACGCCGTTTCCCACCAATCGTTTTTAACATTTACATTCTCGTATCTGGCTATTATTCCATATCCAAATAAGCAGTTTACAATTATCACAGGAACTACAATATATAAAAAAAATTAATAAAATTAATGATAATATAATATTTGCGATCTACCTCCACTTTTAATATTTTCTAACCATTTAATGATGTTTTATATTTAAATTCTTCTTTTGATGCTAATTTTAACCCTAAGTCACTTTGAAATATTAATCTTTTGAAGGGACAGGACTTTAACAGGATAAAATAAAGTAACTATTTTTAGAAATACGCTTTCTTGTTCCTTAGATTTGAAGGGAAAGTTAATAATCAGACAGTTGAATAAGGTTATAAACGTTATATGAGTAAAGTATAATCGAGTAAGTAATCGAATTCGTCGAATACTCGTATGTAGATCAAATGAGATCTAATAAATCTTATAAAACGTTGATTCTACAGTAAATATTTAAACATCTTTCCTTATTTTATCTGTAGCTCGAATTTATATCCTTTCTGCACATTTTTCGTGAATTTATTTAAGAATACAATGGATAATGGGTCCATTAGGTTCGTCGGAATTATTATCAACAAATACACTTAAAGAGCATACTTACGTCTAATGTGCAATAAATACTTCATTTTAATAATATACTCTTTAAAATATAACCGGAGCTAATTATATCAACCTTAATAGTAAGTTATGAAATGAACTAAAGGCATTCGTAAGCCTTTTATAACTCATTGTTACAATACGTGTTTACAAGCACACCTTATGTTTCTATAGACTGTGATCTAAATTGTCTTTGTGATAAAATGGATATTTGAAAACATAGATCATGCGTATTAACAACGGTCCAAATAGTATAACTGTAATGTTAATGTTAATGTTACTGTAATGGTATTTTCCTACAGAATATTAGCAGTAAGTAAATTTTGATAAGTATTTAATTTATCATATCATAATAAAGAATTGAAGGGCGTTTCTACTCATGGTTTACCACGATATTATTATCATTTTCTTAAGAATGCAACTCCCAAAACCATTGTATATCTACTACAGGATAAATGACTTCGTCAATGCCTCCCTACAAACACACAAACTCTTTTTCAATTTGAAAATTTTGTAAGTAAACAGGGTGTTCTTCTGACGTTAAGTGATTACCGCCGCCCATCGATACCTACACCCGATGGGTTGTAAATGTGTTACCAACCATTAAGTAAGTGTGCCTCGGCTACCTCACTCATCAGATGTAACATGAAAGCATAATACTATCACTTCAAGCCGAGACGAGACTACTCATTCTTGCAACAGTAAAAGCCCATGCTCCATGGCCTCCGCTTTATACATCCAGCCACTTTCAACCACATTTGAATGCATTCATCCATCTCGAGGATTTGGGATTCAGCGACTCCAATTTTCACGGTCGCAACGGAAACCGGACTGGGAACAACGGGGTCGTTAAACATGATTTTTTTTTATGTGAAAAGTTACCAAACGAGCAGACGGTTCACCTGATGTTAAGTGAATACCGCCGCCCATGGACATCTAATATATAAAGATACATAGGAGCGAGAGATCGCTCCTATGTATCTTTAATAATTCTAGCAACTTCTATTGTGGTCACTTCTACATGAGCTGTATGTTTGTGTGAAGAAAGAAGTCGCTTTAGAATGATACATAAATTATTAAGATATCATTACTACATATCATTACTACATCGGTATCATCACTATATAGTATAAAAGAAAGTCATTCCGCGAATTTATATACACAAAAAACCAGTGACCGAAATTGTTTAGATTAAATAAATTAATATAATTTTATAAGAAGTAAATGCGGCCTTATTTTTATTGGCAATCCGGCAGAAGCTCACTCCAATAAGAAATATCTATAAAAAAATATTTTTATTAAAAACAGATGGACGTATAAATTACTAACTCAGATCTCAATATTCATTACTCATATCGCTTATATTAAATATAATTATTTCAATTGTTTCAGGTAAGCAAACGTGCGTTGACGCCTTGATATTCAGAAGTATGTATAAATATTGATGGCAATGTAAGTATATCGTGTTTTAAGGTTTAGTAATTAATATAGTCATTAATATGATATCGTCCATTTAATTGATGAGTAACAAAATCATGTGAATCATTCTTATGTTTGTCGGACATAATGGTAGGAATTAACATACATCGTGTCTTTACAATCGCGACAATAAATGAACACATATATAAAGGATAACTTTTTTAAATTGTATTAAACATTTACATTCTTTAAAATTCAATATTTACCGAGTTATTATATTTTCAAAAACAAAGAATTTTAGAACATCCTTACGTATAAAACTGTAACGTAAAGTTCACTTGTAAAGGTCACAAAGCATATGAATGTATTGAATGAATTTAAAAGAGACAAAACATACTGTTAGAAGGAGAGGCTTGTAATGTTTTGCCATGTGGCAACGAATGAAAATGTCTCCGCATGTATGAATCAGTCAGTTGTAGTTGCATAGGATGTTACAATTTTTTTTTCTTTTTTACTAAATTAGTTTGTTTGAAAGAAAAAAAAATATTATGGTTTTTTTAACGTTATTATTTTCTTATGATTATTGGCAAGTAGCGTTAGACGTGTGTTCATTTATTATCGCGATGGTAACGACACGCTGTATAGCTAAACAACATTTGGATATGTTACAATATAAAGGAATTGAATATATTGGAAAGTTGAAGCCAATCTTTCTAACTCTATGAATTTTAAAGCCAATAAATTACGACCATAGCAATAAATTTTGTAAATTTTGAGACTTCCGGACGTCTGTAATGTGTTCAGAACATAGGGATTACAAAAAACATTTTTAACCATGTGTAGTATTCGCGCAAATACAACAATGCGTGAACGTTAAACCTAATAACAGTTTTCGCACAACACATCCAGCATTTTCTCTTTGTGTGTCAAAAAGCTTTCTAAAAATCATTTTGTCGGAAATAATAGTATAAGATGATGATATGAGACTTATTGTTGACAACAGACCCTAGATTATAACCTGCACTAACCTCTTTCAATGCTATTCTGAAAAAGCCAACTCGCTTAAAATTTTAGAAGTCACCCCATAGCTTCACGCATTTCTTTTAATCGATCTGTTTTGCTTCGTTACCGCACAGGAGCGTGACCTCACAATATGAATAATAAAGACGCCGTTGACGTCGTTTGGCCGTTGACTGTTCTTTAATTTATTTAACGTAAACAACGACGCTTGTACGAGTTACGCCTCGCTGCAATTTTTTCAGCTCCACGGTACTGTCCCTAATTTGTTTTCTCATTAGCGAATAAACAGTTTCGTATGTATGCCCGATGAGGTAAATGTAATTATATTTTTTTAATAATGTTATTTTTGGTGCGAGAAATATTTACTATTCAAAGGAGATAAACGCTTCATGCTATTTCAATACGATTGTAAAGTATTTCAATCGACGAGATCGTTAATCGTCAACCGGTACATGCAAATGGCATTATGTCGGTCGTTTAGGCGAACTGATGATGGTGATGACTGTGAAATAATTTTGGCTCTCTAGCGAGGTAAAGCAAATTGGAATTGGAATAAGGCAAATTGGTGCAACGCTCGATACTTGATAACCCACCCACAAGCGAAAATCGAAAAAAATCTGTGAGCGAAAATTTTAACGAGATAATTTCGTTGTAATAGCGACACAATTTTCCAAAGGACGACAAATGAAAACATTGTAAGACAGACTCGCAAATTAAAAAATAACATCTTCCCAGAGATTTCATGTTTGAACTCCATAATTGATTCGATATTTTGTATTGTAAGTGGCCTGTTGTAGAAACTTTCATTATGCCCTTTGTGTGTAGTGCCCATTATATTAATATGAATTTATTTATATTCAATTGAAATCTATTACAATAATTAAGACCTTCGATAGTTACGGATTCATGAAGCTCGTCTTGGAGTTATCTAAAATAACCATTTTATTGTGCCCTTTTACACTCTCTCGCTTGGTATTTCTTCATCAACGGGAATTCGAATTACCAAAGAGAAAAGGTTCCGCTCGGCTGAATGCGCATTGTTTGAAACTTTTCCTTATTAAAATAATCAAATTAATTTCCTGATGAACTTTCATAAATTATGTTGTTATGATTCGATAAGCGGGCTTTTTGTCAATCAACAATGGTCGTTCATATCAAAAGTTATAAACAATATCATTTGGTAAAAAGTAAACAAAACCGAAAAAAAAAAACGAAATTAACTGCAAGATAAGGTAAAGCAATGGATTATACTAGAATAAAATGCTACATACGATAAAATATATGAATGGCACAACTTGTACATGAAATGAGATATATTTTTAGTATTTAATGTTTAAACCAATAAACCCTGGAATAGCAGCAGAAAACGACAGGGTCGCAGGCATAACGAAGTTAATGAAATGTTATAATGAACCTTGCCGTTTACTAAATAAAATTATCATTAAACCTTTTTACTCTTGATTTGTAAATGAATCTTCATTTGTCTTATTTTAACATTCGTATCAAATACGAGGACAGAGAATTCTTTTCAAAATATTTTAGAGATTAAATCCTTAAAGATCTTTTTTTTTCCAATAAGTAGAATTCGCATATTTACTCATATATGTATCTCTAAATATGTGTTTATTGCTTATGACAGTTCAATTCATTAAATACTTATTTTCTATAAATAATACACTATTGACTACACAAACCCGTAAGTAATTACACGTAATACGTATTACGTGTAATTACTTACGGGCGTTTAAGTATATCAAACAGGAAAAACTATTTACTGTTTGCTATTCTATTTTTCTCCACACTTATTTTTTTTTATTTGAAACTGGGTCACCCTAAATCTATTTATTGTCTTTATTGTAAAAATATCTTTCGTTTGCGTCGTTTGAATCGCAATACCATTCCAATAAAACTAACTCACAAATGCGGTAAACGATTCCAATGTGGTTTTATTAAATAGTATAATATTCACGTAAATGAATGAAATTATTACTACCTACAGTTTATTGAGTTTTAATCTACGATACACATTCATAGATTGCATGCAAAATCCCTGTATACTAATTTTGATTTTGTGATTGAGAATTTGTGTTGTAAGACGGCTGACCAATAACATCCTTAAAGTTTGGTATTAAATAAACTTTGTGTAAGTTGATTGGTAACTTCGTCTCGGTGTAACATGAAAGTTGTTCGTGCTGTCTTTGAAATAGTGCCGGTTAAATGAAAAATCGTACGTACTTTAAGAACTCACGTTTCATTGCTTACTTCCATTAAACCACGCATATTTTTTAGATTTCAATTTTAAAGTTATAATGATTTTGTGTTCCTTTCCATAAAAGACAATATATTTAGAGAGCTTGAGTGCAAAGCCACTGGAACGGACAGGAAACCAGTGGCTTAATTTAAATTGCAAATAGATTGTACTAGGTTGACAACATAACTTTCTAGCACTACCGTGGACCCACTGAAGAATTCAATTCTGCATTGAATAAAATGAATTTTTAAAAATGTATTTGTTCAATAAGAAAAATAATGTTATTTTCTTTTATTTATTTAAATGTCTGCTCACATTATTTATTGTACATTGCGAGTT